CCGTCCCTGCTGGCTCCGAGCCCAGGGACTGCTGCCCTCCGGGGGCTGCCAGCCCCGGCCCCCACTGTGTGGCTCCAGTCAAGCCTCTGCTATGCAGGGAGGGAGCAGATGCTGTCATCCCTGGGCCTGTGCACCTCAGGGACTCTGGGAACTTTGTATATTTTGTTAAATTAAATTGTACCCCTGCCACCTCCTCGCTGGTACCCACTGGCCCGTTTTCCCCCAGGGGTGTGCAGCCACCCCTCTGCAGCAGGGCTGGCAGCAGGCAGGGCTGCACGGAGACCGCGGCACCGGGAGCTGGCAGGGACGTGCTCAGCTCCAGGTAAAAGTGGAGACCTCTCCCCCAGAGGTTTTATTGAGGAGCAACTGTGGCTCCTCTGGCCGAGGATAAAGGCACAAGGATCCCTGAATGTTCCAGAGCTACACGGTGTTCGTGATACAGAGAGCAGAGCCTCGGGGTGTCACCCAGGGATTTGGGACTGGCCCCGCCAGGGTCCTGCTCTGACCCCCTCATGCCCAATGGGCAGCGCACAGCTGTCCCGTGGCAATGGGGGACGCGAGGCAGAGCTGAGGCTCACAGCTCGTTGTGCAGTGGCTGGCACTGGGGGCTCAGTTTCTTCTCCAGGACAGCATCGGGGGCACACACCCAGGGGTCACCTGTGTCCCACTGCCACTTCAAGAGCTGCGTGCGAAGCAGCTGGAAGATGGCGGCGTAGCGGGGGTCGGGGGCCAGGTTCTGGCTCTCAGTGGGGTCGCGGCTGCAGTCAAAGAGCTCCCAGCGGTCCCTGTAGTAGTACTGGTGCAGGGTCTTGTTCCAGTGGGTTGGCTGCCCGGCCCTGGTGCGGTTGAGCAGGTCTTGGAAAGTGGGCGAGATGTAGAAGTCCTGGTCGATGGGAAAGGGCATCTTGTAGTTGAGGTTGTGAATGAGGTGGAACTGCTGGTGCTGGATGGCTCGCATGGGGTAGTACATGGTCACTTCGTGGTGGCTCTGGCTGCTGAAGGCGGTGGCCCAGGGCTGCTCCGGCTCCAGTGCTGGCAGGAGAGACTTTCCGGTGAGCTGCACCCGCTTCGTGCCAAAGATGCTGTAAGAAGGGTAGGGGATGGAGAACCAGTCCAAAATGGTCGGCGTGAGGTCTGGAGGGGAAGAGAAGGGTGAGAGGAGGGGCTAGCACCCATGGGAGGAAACTCAGGCCTGGAGAGGTCCCCGGGGTCTGCTGCCATGTGGGCTGTGGGTGGTCCTGGGATGAGCTGCAGAGCTGAGCCCTGGGATGATGTCCCTGCAGGGGACCCTGCTGCTCCGTCATCCCTCCTCTCCCTTCCCAGGGCTGGCCGTGCTAATGCCGAGGGCTGCAGGCTGTCCTCCGGGAGAGGACCCTGGATTTTGGCGTGGGGAGGGTGGGGACCAGCTCATGCCCCCCCGGCACAGCTCTGCATGCCTCTGCTCCTTCCTGGGGGGCACGGGCTCTTACCCAGGAGGGTGGCGAAGGCCTGGCTGACCTGCCCCCAGCGCTTGGTGTGCTCGGGGGAAGAGATCAGCAAGGGCTCGGCAGTGCCCGACAGGTAGAGGTTGGTCCTGCCGCTGGGGAAGGGGATGCCGTTGTCAGAGGTGTAGATCACCAGCGTGCTGTTGTGGAAGCCAGCACGCCGCAGCTCCTCCAGGACCAGCCCGATCCCTGCGGATGGAGGGGCAGAGCTGAGGCAGGGGTGGGAGGGACCACAGCGCTCGCCAGCGCCAGCCTGGCCCCCGCAGCTCCTACCTTGGTCCATGCGCCCTATGGTTGTGTACTGGGCTGCCAGGTCCGCCCGGGCAGCCGGCGTGTCTGGAACGAAGTAAGGGACCTAAACGGAGAAAGGGAAAGCGGCACATGGCAGCCATGGGGAAGGAGGACATGGGTGCGTCAGGGTGGCCTTCACCAGCTCTCGCCCTTAACGCTGACGGCAGTGACTGAGGTGGGGGCCAGCTTGCAGCCGCCCTGGCTCCAGCGGAGGCTGGTGTCGCATGCAGTCCCCATATGGCCCCACGCAGCCCCGTGTAGCCCCACGCAGCCCCATATAGACCCATGCAGCCTCACAGGCTCCCACCTGCACTTGCTCTGGGCGGTAGAGCTGTGGCTTCCAGTCCGGGATCCAGCCCATGCCACTTTCTCCGTTGCCGAATTTCTCACAAAAGGCCCCGTACTGGGGCTGGGAGTGCCCACAGCGGTGGGGGTCGTGGAAGGCGACGTAGAGGAAGAAAGGCCTAGAGATGGAGAGGGTGGAGGTGGGGTGATGTAGCAAAGGGCTGCCCGTGTCCTCTGAGAACAACCCTGGGCTGTGCAGGGGTGAGCTGGTGTCGGCAGGAGGACTCCCACCTAATCTGGGCTTCTGAATATGGGGTGACCCAGAGACAAGGTGTCCCTTCCTAGTTGTGACCAGCTGGGATATGGAGACATGTCTTCAGTGAAGCCGGTTTCCCTCTCCGCTCCCATGCCCCCTCGCAGCCTGCCCCGGGGACACAGGGTCCGTCTCACCTCTCATCCTGGCTCTGCAGAAACTGCCGGACGAGCGCTTTGATTCGAGTGATGTTTCTCCCAACCTGCAAGACCGAACTGTTCTCTTCTGTGTAGGCGAAGTCGAAGGGGTAGACAGCCTCGGGCCCAACATGCTTCTTCCCAATTATCCCTGCAAGAATGCAGACATGTGTTGTGTCAGGAGCAGTGGGGAGCAGGGGCTAGGACGCTGGCTGCTGCTGCTGTCTCCTCCCTGGGGGATGATGCAGATCATTTGCTCCAGCACCGACTGCGCTCAGCAAACGCTGGTGAAAGTGGAAGATGCTGCTGGCTTCTCCAGGCATTTCTGCCAGTTGCAGAGGCAATTCCACATCTGCTCAGAAAACGGGACTCACCCAGGGACCACGCTGCCCCAGGTCACAGGCGTGGGTAAGCACTAGAGCAGCTGAGCAGCCGAGGAGGAAGTTTGGGTCAAGCATGAGCCTTGTGTGAACCTGGGAACGAGGAAGGAGCAGGATGAGGAACAGAAGTGAAAGGTGTAATGAGGATGGTAGAGGAGCAGCAGTGGGGGGAAGCGAAGCAAAACCCAGGTGTCAGCACAGAGCATGGGCATGGGTCCAGTTGGTGCTGTCTAGCTTGCAGGTGGGTTAGCCGTCAAGCTCTCAGCCGATGGAGTTCGGTGCACAGAGGGGGGGTGTTCCCTGTGCGTGCCACTTGCCCTGGGCTCCCCTACCTGTTCGGACGTGTGCTTGGCTGAGCAGCCGGGGCAGGCTCCGCACGCCGTCAAAGGAGTTGAAGTGGTGCACGTCCTGGTGCAGCCCATACATCCCATTCTGATGCTGCAGGCGGGGGGAGACAACACGGTTGGACGATGCCTGGCCCCAAAACAGGTCCAGCCATGCACCAAAGTGTGTATGCATGGGAAGCAGGTCCCAGGGGGCAGGGGAGAGAGTGGGTCAGTGGGAATGGGGATATTGCCAGGTCCTGTGACCATGCTGTAAGCATGCCCGCTCTGGTCATCCCTGAGGGCCCACCGCGGACTGGCAGCCCCCACCCTGGCACGTGCGGGTGCCCCTACCTGGGGTAAGCCGGTCAGGATGCTGGCCCGGCTGGGGGAACAGCTGCTGACGGAGGTGAAGGCGTTCT